CTGTGTGTATTTTACCTTTGTCTCTGTCTCTCTGTGTCTGTCTCTCTGTCTCTTTCTCTCCAACTCTCTCTTTCTCTTTGTGTATATTGTTGTGTGTATGTGTGTATGTGTTGCAAATATCTAACCATGTATACATGTGTGTGTTTGTGAGCACAAATACCAGGATTCAGCTTTGTGTGTTACTATTATTTACCTATTTTTATTAAGACAAGACCTCTCTCTGATCTGTGTCTCATCTAATAGGCTAATCTGCTGCCTAATGAGCCCCAGGAATCTGCCTGTCTCTACCTTTCCAATGATGCAATTATAAGCAAGTACTACCATATAATGTATTTGTGTTGTTTCTAAGGATCAAATCAGGTCTGTTACTTGCAGAACAAGCATTTTGCCAGGTAGAAAAATCACCAAAAATAAAAATGATTTCAAAAAGTAAAAATTTATCTGTCTTTAAGACATAGAGAAATCCTCATATGATTATTACAAAGGTTTTTAACCTTTTTCTTTACATTTTTAAACCCACTGTCTTACTTGAGGTTATTATTGCTGTGATTAAATACAATGACCTAAAATCAAGTTGGGAGAGAAAGGATGTACTTGGCTTATAATTATGTATCTTTGAAAAAAAATCAGAACAGGAACACAAGCCAGGCAGGAATCTGGAAGCAGAAACTCATGCAAAGGCCATAGAGGAATGCTGCTTACTGGCTTGATTCCCATATCTAGCTCACTCTGCTTTCTTATTGAACCCAGAACCATCAGCCTAGTAAAGGTAACACCAGAATGGGACTGGTCATCTCCTATCAATCATTAATTTAAAAAAATGCCCTATGGGCTTGGCTGTAACACCACCTTATTGAAGTATTTTTTACTTGAAGTCCCATCCTCTCAGATGACATTAGCTTGTATCACATAGACATAAAACTATCAACCAAAACTACTTTCTTTGAGTATGCATTTGCCACATTCAATATTTAACTTTACCTTCATATTTTATGAAAAAATGTCCCATGTTCTTCAGTACACATTCCTGGATATGGGAACATTCAGCCAGTATACTTATTTACAAAAACTTTCCTTCTACCCAAGGCACATAGACACCAAAGCAGAGATCTGCTTAAGTTTCCCTTAAGAAATTAATCTTGCATCACCTAGGGGTTTTCTAGAATGAAATACGCTGGCACACTTCACCCAGTACAGGTGGTCCTGAATCTTCACTCGGAGGAAATAATTTGATGATTCTTCGTCAATTAGGAGAAGCAATGCTTAAGGAAAGACAGGGTTGCCCAACCAATCAACCAAACAAACAAACAAAAAACAAAAACAATACTCTGCTTTATTTTGTACCTTCCCTTTGGAAGCAAAAGGGGTGGTTACATCTTTTGAAATCTGTCACCAATGGCCAGCTTCATAGCATGAAGTTTGCTCAGATGGATGCCTAAGACATTCAGGGCTTTACTTAACATGAAAAATACTTTGCACTACCTCATCATTCAAGTGACGAATCAGTCTTTCTTTTACAACAGACTTACCTGGAGAATGATTGTAACTCTTCATATCATAAACAAATACAATTTTAAAGGCCTGCTATTTGTTCTTTTGTGGAATATCAGTGTTATAAGATTCTTAAAAGATTTGTTTAATGAATTAATTTAATTAATTTGTTCTAATGTTTTAGAAATGTAAGAAGCTGAACAAAGAACTGTTTGCCTGATTGGATACATGGAAATGAATATATACATATGTACCTTTGCATACTCTTAACATAGATATAAATCATTGGTTAGCAAATCACTGTATTATTGGTGCAAAAATTCATCATCTTTACTCTGGGTATATGAATCTTCAAAGTTAAGATATAAAATTAACAAAACAGAAATATATTGCATTCTCTTAGAGTAGTTTAATTCACAGTACTTTCTTTTTTCTTCTTTTAGGACTTTTTTATGGTGTTGTGTAGGTCAAAACTTCCAACTAAACAAATGTACAGTGGCCTCTCTCTCCTTCTGTCTCTCTCATGCATGTGTGAGTGTGTGTGTGTGTGTGTGTGTGTGTGTGTGTGTGTGTGTTGACTTGTTTCTGCTTTTTATCACAAATACTTGTTCTACCATGTGGAGATCATGAGGAAAAGATTATACTGAAGTAAACCAAGTGTCAAAGTCTTTGAACACAAACAAAGCCTGTTAAAAATCATTGACATGCTATTATGCACATGTCAGTTGTAAAAGTTCAGTTGTTTGTTGTCAGTAGTTTGGTGTTGCTGATGCACAGCAAATTCAAGCTTATCAGGAAGGAGAATCAGACACAGCTATCCTTTATTTTCAGATGCCAGAAATTCAAGTTCTCACAAACTTGGAATAAAGCAGATCTGATTTATCATACTACCTTAATAATTTGTCATAATATCTCAACCTGGCAGTAAAAACTGTGTTTGAATACATTATATGTATGCTCAAATGTAGGTGTCTAGTCTGTGGACCTGAAATGGTGGCCACACCTCCTTGGGAGTGGCCTCAGGCAGACAGAACTGGAAAGAGGAGCTTGAGATGTGGCTTTCTTTGGTGTACTCTTTCTGGTGGGTCAGTGGATCCAGTAGGAAGAGCAGGGAAACTCTCCAGCAGTTCTTTGTGTTTTTCTGTTTAGTTGTTCCCCAAAAAAATACTCATTTGTCATTTATCTTGGGTCCAATGATAGAATTACATCCTCGCCTTCATTCACACTTTGTGTTTATGCTTAATTTAATTTATCTTAGAACAAAATACTAAACATAAAATTGATATTAATATATAGAATTAATTTTGAAATTAGAAAAACATTGAAGAGATCGCTAAATATCAGTTCAATATACTGATTTGTTGAGACTTCACACACTAGTGCTCCATGGAGGGCATTTATCATGAAGTATAGCATGAGTAGTAATCCGTGAATTAGTATAACATTGCATCTCTGGGGTTTGCAATAAAGTCAATAAATAACTCTCCTCTTCCATGACCAAAATATCAAGTAACTTGTAAATATGAAACAATAACTTCATGCATGGGGATGTGAATTATTATTCACAGCATTCAAAATGATACTTGAACAATATATTTTGAGGCAGAGTTCATATTCAGAATATTTAAATATTATGTCAAAAAGGCTCATGTCACTTACACACTCACTGTCTAAGCATATTAACTGTATATCATATGGAGCACATATGTTGACTGTCAGCCTATGTGTGTTCATCAGTTTGACCTTGCTTTCTCTGATTCAACAGAAATTCAGTTGAAGAAAAACTGAATGAAGGAAAGCATACAGATGAGTTATAGCTTAGCCAGTTGCAATATGGTCTCAAAAAGAAAATGTAGAAATATAGGAAATAATTCTTATGGGACGTTCAGCACTATGGAGAAATTAGAACCATCCACTCAAACAGTGGCACCATTGATATTTTCTAAACAACAAGGAAATATTGCCACACAGGGGAAAGGAATTTCAATAGTCAAATTTGATAGGAAGAAGAAATGTCCCTCCTTGAAGATGAAATTTCAGTAGAGAGAGAGAAGTATTCCTACTTTTAATCCACTTTGAATGTGCTGGCTATCTGTAACATGAATAAAATCAAATTCTTAAAGAAATAAAATAAAATAAAAACTTAAATAAAAACTAAATTAGACAAAATATTGTCCCTCCCACTAAAATTGTCATCCTACATTCATTGACTATTAACATAAAAGAGCAAAGAGTTCTAGAAAAATATGGGTTTGAACTCACTGTTAACCAAAATGCTTATGCTGTAAAAATAAAATATTGTATTCATTGAGACATATAGTTATGCAAACATGGATGTGTACATCCAGTTTTCAAACTGTCATGTGAAATATACAGTGTTTTATATGTAAGATCTGCTTCCTTTTATATGATCTTTGGAAGGCAATATTTTGTTCTTTGTGTTTTTTATGATAAACATACTTACATGCTTAAATATTGTATATGCATCTCAGAACTATAAGACACAGTCATAATAAAATGCAATACAATACAAAGCAAATGCTAACAGCTACAGGACAGATGACATGAGGCTGGTAATAGATTTTCTGCCCCATGATAAAGATTACAGTTTTTCTGCCTGCCTCCCCCAATAATAGGTTCTCCACTGAAGCAGTAAGCCAGATCAAGCTGAATTGAAACAGTGTAAAAACAGGTTTATTTGAGCAAAACAACTCCCAGTCAGACTCTCCAGTTTCAGAGAACAAGACAGGAGAAGCTGCACACACAAAAGCAGGGAGAATTTATAGGTTGTTGGTGAGTGATAACTTGTCTACCACAAGCTGTGCTTGTCGCTAAGTATAGTCAAAGGCTGAATGTTTAGGTGGGGACTTGGGCACCAAGCAACTTCAGGGGAGAAAGCTAAAATAGCCATTAAGAATGGCTGTTTTGTGCCTTTCCTTTATTTGGAGACTGAGATGTTTTTATTTGGAGAGAGAGAAAAAAATAGGGCTTCCAAAATCATGTTGGGGGTGACTTGGAGGTTCCACCTGAAAATCTGATCCTGTAAAGAGTGCTTCAGATAGTTATGCTTAGTCATAAAAGTTCCTCTTTCCATCTGTAAATGTAAATTGTTCACATTGCAGGGGCTTTGGTTATTCTACAAATCTGTTTTGTCAGTCCTTTGATGAAAGATGGAGACATTGCTTGTTTCATCTTTGCTCATGGTCTACATTGTATACAACAATAGTCATATTTTCTGAGTGTGATGGATTATCATGGTTTATGTAGGCATTAAGAAGCTATGATTCTTCCACCTCAATTCTGAATATAGAGCACTTTGATTTCAAAAGAACACCCATTTTCATAGTCAATGTGGTGCGTTGGGACTTAGGAAAGGTTCTTGGCTGAGGTAGATAGCAGCTATTCCTTGAAGGATTTTAAAGGTTGTGCTGGGAGTCAGCCTCTTATCTAATTGCTAGTAAGCATTTGAAAAGGTTGAGTAATGAGTCTTTAAAAAGTATTACAAGCACTTTCTTGTGCAGTATATATACTAAGATTGGAATAATACAGAGAAAATTAGCATGGCCCATGTACAAGCATGACAAGCAAGTTCATGAAGCATTCCATATATTTCAACTTCTTAGAAGGATAACTGGTGTTCAGTCACAAAAAAAAACAACAACAAATAAAACATTTTATGGCTACTTATTGTGAAAGTCTAGATCAGTGGTCTGCAACCTTTGAGTCATGGCCCTCCCCCAGGGTCACGTATCGGGTATCTTTGATATCAGATATTTACTTTGTGATTCAAACAATAACAAAATTACATTCAGGAAGTAGGAATGAAATAATTTTGTTGCTGAGGTCATCTCAACATGAGGAAATGTATTAAAGTGTCCCAGCATTAGGAAGGTTTAGCACCACTTGTCTAGATCAACAGAACATGACTTGTTGGCCTCACCCTCCCTGGGGAGCAGAAATGGTTTGGGTCGGTAGGGTGTTAGTGGGGAGCAGGGAGGAGGGGAGGGAGAAGAAACTGGGATTGACATGTAAAACAATCTTGTTTCTAATTTACATAAAAATGGAGAAAAAAGAACATGACTTATTTTTCATAGATTACTTAATATTGTCTAATGTCACTTTATATTATACAGATATAAACACTGATATAACTAATTGATTTTCTTTTACTTCTTTTGATAAATCTACTCAAAATATTAATAACTAAACTTAACATAAAATAGAAATATGTATCACAGGTAGCAAATTTTTACACATTGATTTTGCTTTTAATTGTGTGTGCCCAAATATCCACATGAGCAGGAAATCTCCTTGAGAACACATTCTGCAACTGGGGCCATGCAGATCTGAGTCTACTGCACTGCTACCTGATGCCATGGTGATGACAGTGCCTGTGCTGCTGCAGAGAGTCAGCTCTGGGTTTGTGGCCCTACTGCAGCTGAGTTGAGTTGACTTCCAATACCACCAGGATGAATGAAGAAATTTTGGAGAGGTGGGTAAGATGGAGGAAAGAAGAGTTTTTTTTTTTCCTTTTTGTTTGTTTGTTTTTGTCCTTTTGGTTACAATGGTTTTAAAAACATACATAGGCTTGGGAGAGAAAAGAAAAAGGATAAAATGTTTTAAAAAGAAATAGAGTAGCTTAGCGGTGGTGACACATACACCTTTTATCCCAGCACCTGGAAGGCAGAGGCAGGCAGATCTCTTTGATGTCAAGGTGAGCCTGGTCTACAAAGTGAATCCCATGACAGGCAAAGTACACAGAGAAACCCTATCTCAAAAATGAAAACATAAAAGTATAAGTAATAGAGTAATAAAACCATGTAAGGATGGAAAATACAGAGAGTCCGGATACTGTATGATATTGTGTTGTCTTTGAATTGTTAGTTGTTGAAGAAAAAGCAATAGCTGCTAAAATACATTTTATTATAATTGCTCTTTGATTAATCTAACTTATATATTTTGAAAATTCTTTGGCTTCAAAATTTAAGTCTAAGTACAGGTAACTTTGGAAAAGAAGTTCTGCTTTTGTTTTCACAGAAGTTGAAAGGCTGTGAATTCCTTCAAAACTAATATGGTTTGATCAAGTAAGGCCCACTGAATCAGTGCCCCAGGTGATCCACCACCCAAAACAGATAAACGGATGCAGCCTCAGACTACTACAGCCAGGATTTGGCCAGGTTTCTGGGTTTTTCTCAGGAACCCCTTGGGATTGACATCACTACTAAATAGCAGGAAGCAGTTTGGAGAGAATGATACCCAAATTCCCAAATACTTTTTATAAATATTTGTTTTCATTTATATGTGGTTGGTTATAAATGGTTAATGATCATAGCCAATCTCTTTCTGAAGGAAAAAAAAGGGAATATGAATACTTTGTGATGGTATGGATTTTGATTTGTTGATACAAATTTAAGGTCAATTTTGTTATAGGTATATTTCTCCTCTTGTTTACATACTGTGTTTATACAGTTCATTTTAAAATGTAATGTATAATTAAATACAGATTATAGATTGTCACCTATAACAGTCTAAACTTATAGTTATGTTAGTTAGATTTTCTAAATATATTTGAGATAGACTTCGAACCTTTCAAAGACCTACAGAATAGGGCATTTAAAATAGTTTATTGGGGTTTTAATGTCACAACTGCCCCTAGCAACATCAATTACTTCAGAGAGGAAGATGGCATCAAAGAAACTCATTATGGAGTTTGCCTTTGACATGGCAAGACTAGTCATTTAGGCAAGAAACAGCTTTTGCTTAGACTGTTTGACTGTATGATGTGCAAATTGGACATACAGGACCCACAGGAAAGTGTCTGTTGAATTTGCTGAAACAAGATAGGTCCATCCTTCAGGGTTCCTGCTTTATGGAAGAGTCTGCCAGACATTCTGCAGGACACAGAGAAAAATGACTGACAAATTGCCAATACAGATGTACAGTTTCAAATTTCCTGCTTCGCTGAGAACTTCCAGATACTCTGGCCCTGTAGGTTGAAGCTGAATGGCCCAACATTACAGAAGAACTTAGAGTCACTGTCCAGGTAGAGAGATGTCTCTGTTAATTCTAGAGTTTATATATTATCATTCTGAGGTATTTGATGGAATTGAACAGATAGTCATGGTTATGGTTTTCCTTCATTATGATAAAAGATAGTTACATATAAAACTTTAGACTCATAAAGAAAGGATAGAAGATAGAATATTTTCTTTAAATTTTGGCAAATGTTAATGAACTAAATATTGTTAACTATAGTTCTTACTTGGAAACTGTTTTGTTATATACAATTTTACTATGTTAAAGTTAAAACCTTTCTTTTTATTTGGGCAGAAAAGAAAAGATGATGGGGATTGTCCTTCTGTATATATGTTTCTATTATTGGTTGATGAATAAAATACTGATTGGCCAGTAGTCAAGCATAGAAAGGGATCCCAGATAAGGGGAAGGCTGGGAGAGGAAGGCAGAGAGGATCAGCAAAGAGATGCCATGCTGCCAAAGGAGTAATGTGCCAGATTATGGGTAAGCAACAACCTCATGGCAATACCTAGATTAATAGAAAACAAAGCTAGCCAATAAGAAGCTCTAGCCATCAGTCAACAGTTTATAAAATAATATAAGTTTTTGTATGTTTATTTGGGACAAAGCAACTGTGGGATCAGTGGCACAGAAATGTCCATCTTCAGCCAATCAGGCATCCTTTTGATATGCTTTAGTATTTATTAACAAAATTTTATGTATTCTCAAAATATACATATGGATCAATTGTGCAATGAGTCTAGCTTGACATTAATTTTTCTTAATGAAGATCACAATTTCATATGCTAAGCAAAGTTATATCACCTAATAACTTTTATTTAGTTTCTAAATTATTTTAAGATTTATTTTCATCTTTTGAACACTGTTGTCTCGTCTGCATGTGTTTCTGTCTGAGGATGTTGGATCCCCTGGAACTGGAGTAATACAGACAGTTATAAGCTGCCAAGTGGGTCCTGGTAATTGAACTCAGGTCCTCTGGAAGAGCAACAATGCTCTTCACTGCTGAGCCATCTCTCCAGCCCCCTCATTATTTTTTTTAAATTAATTATTTTACTTTGATATGCTTCACTATTTTTGAGAATTTTATACATGCATAAAATGAATTTTGGTATTCACCAACAATTCCCATCCCAACTCCTAGAGTCCCTCTCTACCATCTGTTCTCTTCCAACTTCTCCTTTTAAAAAAATTATAATTTAGAATTCTACCAGGTGGTGGTAGTGCATGCCTTTAATTTCATCACTTGGGAGACAGATGAAGAGGCAAGGGGATCTTTTTTTAGTTTAACGACAGCCTGATCTACAATGTGAGTCCAACACAGCCATAATTGTTACACAGAAAAACATTTTCTCCAAAATAAAAAAAAATCCTAAAAAAACACTAATCAAAGAAACAAACAATAAAAACAACAACCCCCCAAGCCATAGAGTCCTACTCTTGCTTCCCCATAAACTCATAGAAGTGAGCCCATCCAATGGAGTTTGGTGAACTTTACAGGGCCACACCCTCAAATAAAATCACCCTAACCCACCCCCCCACACACACACACAGAAAGAAGTCATATGCTGTCAATAGTTCATTGGCTGGGTTTTGGAAAGTCATAAGTACTTTCATCTTCCATGTCAGAATATTGGCTGCCTTGATCTTGGGAAACATCCACAACTACAATGAATTCACAAGTGCACTATTTCTGTAATTTCTATAAAGTCTTGGTCCTTCCAAAACTCTGGCTCTTACAATCTTTCTTCTTTTTCTTCCCTGGTGGTACTAAACTTCGTGGGGAAGCATATAACAGAGATTTCCCATTTAGAAGTGAGAATTCTAGGGACACCTACCCTCTGTACTCCTATCAGATTTGAATTTCTTTATTAACCAATGTCCACTGCACAAAAAAATGTGTTAAAATTTTATTTTACTTTCATAAATTTTATTTTGTAAAAATAAATGGCTAATATATTAAAATATCACACATTAAACTAATCAGATCCAGAGTCTAAACTTCTCAATAAACTGTTCCATAGCTAGAATTCTCACAGGGAACAAAAACATTTTTGCTTCTTGAATGTGCTTTGAAATGTCACAGGTTTGTGGATTGAGATACAAATTTAACTGGCAGTTTTATATTGTGTTCACAAAAACATATGCTTGATACTATAAATCTGGCCCAAAACCATGGTTTGAGATACCATAGGCCACAAAAGTGAATTTACTGGTATTTTGTTACTAAGTGGAAGTAGAATCAAAGTGCCCTTAATGACAAGTTGAGAGACCGATTATTGCCCAAAAGCTCCTGAGATGGCAAGCATGGCATACACAGAATAGAGAAGGAAACCATCATGGAGATTCTGCCTCAACAAGATGGAAGGTGATAGCCTGCTTTAGAAATCTTTCCACTGACATAGCATAATCACCTTCCTACTCATGAGTTCCCCAAAACAAACAGCCAGAAGAGAAGCAAAATAATCCTAAATTTCAGAGGATTTTTTTTCTTTTCTTATAGAGCCATTTTAGCCAGTCAGAGGTAAGCACAATAGGCAGCAACTGGCCAGTGTCTACATAACATATCTTTCTAGCTT